CTGGACATTGTCACAGTTGCGCTGCTGTGGGTTTACTGTACAGTGGGACAGAGTACATGGTCAGTGCTCAGTCAGAGCCCAGGATGTCCGGAAGCAAGACGAAAAGCAGCGGTGACGTGGAGGGGACTGCTAGGACACACTGTACATTTGTGTCAAAGGTGTACGAGACTCACTTTGTCAGACTTACAAACGAGTCCGATTTCCATTCTCCAGGAACTTCAGTCAGGGACTTACTGTATTGTAAATACTATGATTTTGTAACTCCTTTCCTGACCTTTTATTAGAGACCTAGAAAAATCTGGCTTTCAGCATTCTGACTTGGGTCCCTTTTTCTTCATCCTAAATAAAACACTGTAACCCCATGATGGTTTTGATCTTCTATCCTAAACTGATGTTTTCCCAAGGGCTTTTGGTCACTGCATGTCAAACTAATTAACAGACTGCCCCCCAAAACACACCCCCATACTCATCAGCAGTCTCCCAAATTCTCCTTCAACTACCTACCTCTGTCTCTATGAATTTCTATCGTATTTTATATAAATGGAATCAATTATTACATAATTAAAAAATTTTGAGGTAGCATCTCACTATGCAGTTCAGGCTGGCCTCAAACTCCTGACAATCCTCCTCCCTCATCTTCCCAAATGCTGGGATTACAGGCCTGCACCACCATGCCTGGCTACACAATTTTTTGACTGGCTTCTTTCAGTTACAACATGCAGATGTTTTTATGCTGTAGCATATATCATATTTGACTTATTTTTGTAACTATCCCATTGTGCAAATATATATTTACCAGTGGATGGGCATTAGGATCGCTTCCACTTTTTGACTTCTGGTAATGCTGCTATAAGAAATGTGTGTACAACTTTTTGATGGACACATTTTCATTTTTCTTGTGTGTGTAATCGCTGTGGAAACGTCGGTCCCCTGGGAACCATTTGACTTTCTGAGGAAGCACCAGAGTATTAGTGAAAACAGCTGCACCTATTTCACATTCCCACTTGCAATACACGGGGAGTCCAGTTTTTCCACGTCATAATCCTCCCAACAACAGACATCCTAGTATGAAGTGGCATCTTACTGTGGCTTCGCTTCACAGCACGTTTCTCTGACAGGGACGTGTTCCAAGACCCTCTGTGGATGCTGAACTGTGCACAGCACCAAACCCCATACAATGTTTTTCCTGTACACGTCTATGATAAAGCTTAATTTATAAATTCAGCAAATAGATTAACAATAAAATAAGAACATACTACAATAAAAGTTACTTAAAACTTACTGCTTCTGACATTTTCCACTAAGTAGCTTTGAAATGTGGTTAAACCAAATACAGCATCCTTGGAGAGCAAAACCACAAAGGGGAAACTACAGTGCATACTTAGTTGAATGGCTCTCACTCAGGCTAAAAAAGGAATGTAACCAAAGTCAGGTGCGTTCCCAAGAGCCAGCTCCCCACATAGAGAAGGCAGTCTTGCAACTCAGTCTTGCAACTCCAAATACTTATATGCTCAATAAAATAAAGGCATATCGTACGAACAGTGTAGAAATCAGTGATAAGTTTAGGAGGGAATACTTTAACACAGGAGAGACCTAAAAGCATTCGCCATGGTAGTACTGCTACTCTGTTCTATGCCTGCGTCCATAGATGCTTTGGCTACTCATGTCTCACCACCTTTCTTACAATTAAACCAATTAAACCTTCTGTACTTCTGGTGCCTCATTCAGTTCACGAACCTTCCTTTCCATGATTCTGGCTGCAAGCCGAGTTGGATGGGAATCAAATCAAATGTCCCCATAAGGTCGGCATTAAACCTAACCACTGAATTTGATATATTGGTTTGTGGAAACTATAAAAAGATATGTGTCTAAAAGTAACAAAGTAACTTTTTGTAAGAAACAAGCGGCACAAGTGCCTGCCTGGCAAGCTCAAGCTCCTGAGTTTGATTCTCTCAGTACCAAAACAAAAAACAAAAACAAAAAAAGAAACAAAAACAGCCCACCCTTATCCAACTACAATGTCACAATATATATATATACCAGAAGAAATGTATCAAAGAGTTTAATAACTCAATTTTAGAGCCAATCCTAATCAATTCTGTTAATATAGCAGCTAAAGTAAAATGTCTGTTTTTCTCTTTTTTGTGTGTTTTGAGACAAGGTCTTGCTATGTAGTCCAGGCTGGCCTTGAACTTGGATCCTCCTGCCTCAGCCTCCTGAGTGCTAGGATTACAGGTGTGCACCACACTAGGGTGTTTCTCTTAATATAAGCATGTAAGAAAGGGATGCAGTTCAGCGGTAGTTTTTGCCTACTATGCTCGAGACCCTAAGTTCATCAAACCATGGTGCTATATACCCCACCTCCCCAAAAAAGTATATTATTTCATTCTAAATATTTTCCTAAAAATAACTAAGCCTACTGACAGCGGGTCACTCACATGCATAGTCTCAGAATTGAGTTGGTCATGCTTCTGCACACCTTTGATTAATTGGAACTCTCTGGGAGGCTGTGGCCAGACCCATGTTCAAGCAAGTTGATGAGTACCTGTCTCAAAAAAACAAAAATTAAAAGAGGGTTGGGGATGTGGAGAGGCAGCTCAGTGAGAAGGCACTGGACTCAGTCCGCAGCATCATAAAATACATACACGTACTTCCAGACACTCTGACTCTAGCACTGCTTCCCTGTAACAGACCTTCACCAGACATACTTAAACTTACTACCCAACCTCACTTTCATATCCTACCAAAGTTGGCAACTAACATTTATAGTACTAAATCATGAAGCAGGAACTGTGAGAATTTTTTTTAAAGACAAGGTTTCCTGAAAGTTAATTTAAACCAGGAGGTATGATAGACATTGTGAAATGATAGGAATACACTCAAGGGTAAAGGGCAACTGGGATGTGCGGGGGGGGAAAAAAAAAAAAAAAAAAAAAGACAAGGTTTCACTATGTAGTTCAGGTTGGCCTCAAACCCACAGTGATCCTCCTGCCTCTGCTTCCCAAATGCTGAACTTAAAAAGTCACAGGTCACGTTTAAAGCTCCATGACAAACTAGAAATCCCACATTTACGCAACTGTGATCCCGCTGAGTTGAAAGTAATTACTGCATGTGAGATAATTCTGTATCTATACTGAAATAAACTAGAAATCTCTAAATACAGTGGTACCTCAGTTCATGAACTTATTTCGTTCTATGATTTTGGAAAAGACAGCTACATTTGTGTTTGTGTGGAGAAGATGGCCACAGTCGTGTCTGTCATCCTATGCAGAGTTGGCAAACAAAAAAAAATTTTGCCCAATGTTGCTGCCTGCGAAAAGCATTTGCAAACAAAAACATCTGGGAACCAAGGGACGTAGCTCCATACACTCATTTCTGAAAAATTAAGTAACATTTAAGTCTTATGTATGAGAAATTCATAAAAATTAGTATCTTTAACACAACATCAAGGTGTTACATTATGGAAAATCAGTTGATAAGCTACACAGAAAGACAAAGGGAATATTATTGACCAAAAATTTAAAGCTTACTGGGCAGAGGGATAGGGAACTGATACTGGTACTATTTTAACTCTGATGATACAAGTAAGCCTTTAAAGAATACAATTCCTCTTCAGTTTTTCTATTAACGTTTTTGGTAATTATTTGTCAGAAGGGTATATTCAACTGTTTTCTGTAATGGAGGCTACTGAAATGTCTTATTGAAAGACCAACAATGAGTTTAACATTTGAATAAATAATAAGCATTCAGTCTTGACAATGGTAAGCATTTCATACAATTCCATAAATCGGGACAGTAGTGGTGATTTTGTAAGTTTATAAAAAACAGAGAAAGGACTGTTAGGTCATCTTACAATGTATGCACTTTCCCGAAGCATTTGCTAGCTCCTACTTGAAAAATAGTACAACTTCTCAATTTGATTTTTAAAAGAAACTAATATGAAGAAGTCAGGAGAAAAAACCATTTCTAGAGGTAAAAACCTGTTATGTTTCCAAGCTAATGGGTTAAAAAAATAGGCAACCTCAGAAATTCTTTTTAAAGCACTTAAAAGCATTCTTTTCTTATGGAAAATTAGGCAATTTTACTTTAATATAGACATTTCCAAATGAGATCATATAGATTCTTCACTACCTCTAGAGTTTATGAAAATACCTTCAACTTTCTTAGGATAGCTTTTTAAAATTAATACAGTATCTGCCTCAGGCTCCCAAGTGCCGGGATAACAGGCATGCACCACCACGCTCAATTTACAAATAAATTTTTGATCCATTGTTTTGTTTGTGTTTTTGAGATAGGGATTCACAGGCAGTTCCAGCTGGCCTTGAAGTCACTTTGTAGCCTAGGCCAGTCTTGAACTCACAGTGATCATCCTGCCTCAGCCTCCAGATGGTGGGATTACAGGTGTGCATCAGCATGCCTGGCTTGATCAACTATTTTATCTAAATTTCTACAAGCCATTGAGAACCTGGAAAAGCAAGGTTTATAATACACAGAACATTAGAATACACACAAAATTATCAAACTCCTTAACAACTTAATGGATGGATTTAGCGAGGTCTACATTTACTGCAATATTAGCGAAATATTCACATGTAGTTTTTCTCCTGAAGTTCTAAAACATGAGGCTAAAAAGGGCTCACAGATTATGATTTTCATGGTAGGGTAGCATCACCTCAGTCAATGTATCTGCCACACAAACCGCATTTACAATACTTGTAAGCTGTTAGCTATGAAAGAAATACATGCCTACATGCTTTCAGACCAGTTCATTTTATAACATTTCACTATTGATCTGACTTTTGAAATTGACAGCATCAAACGGGGGTGTATCAGAGAAAACTGAATTTCCCATGTTCCATCCCACTCTTACATACCTGAGAACCTTAAGTTTACTGCCAACTTAAACCTGCTGGGATTGTTTCACAGCCCACACTATGGGAAATATGTAAACCAATTTTTGCTACACAAGAAAATCCATTTCAAACATCAAGACTCAAAAAGAACAGACGCATGATACATTTTATCATTTTATTAGGAATAATTCCAAATGGGCTATGAAGAAAAATTACTCAGTTTGATGAGTCTTCCAAAAACTCCTCATGAAGCTATGTTCATCAATAAACAGTAAAACATCAGCAGAACCATTATATACTGGGCAAAGGGTCAGGCTGACACCAAAAGTAACATGCAACAT